TGCTCGTTTATTAGCATGCATCAAGCTCAGTATGTTTCTCTCATGAATTTTCATAAGGATTTTTACTACGTAGCATGTGTGGCTTAATGATGCAATCACCTGATAGACTAGGAAGACTCCAAAGGAGACGTTCCGGTCTGTTGTGTACATAATTCTTGTTTCAAAAATCTGCCTAATTAAGGAATTACCCAATGGAATGCAAGTCTACTGGGTGCATGACATGGTTAAAGAAAATAACAACAACAAAAACCCTTAGTATAATTACGATATGACATGATATCTTATATTGGCAATTTTGAATATAAGGGAATGCTGCTAACCTGCCATTGTTTCAGCTGGTATGCAAGTAGATTATGATAATTTGTAGAGGGAAAATAAGTGTATATTTCTCAGTGATAGAGCTGTTCTGACCGTTGCCCTGTCCAACTCCAGTCTGCAGCCTACAGTGTGTAATGATTCACTTGATGATCATCTTTCAGTAGCTCAAGAAATTGGTGAAGCATCACTGCTAATGAGTTTTACTCCCAGCCTTACGTCTTGTTTGTCTCAGTGAGTTGCATGAAAACAGACTGTGCGGTACGCAGCACTCGTGCGTTGGCTGTGACGGGGGCTTTGTGGGAAGGAGTGCCCCGGGTCCGCTGTTCGGACTGTGTAGCTGTCTCCCCCCTGCGCATCTTTCTTTAATCCACCGTTTAATTACTTATCTTTAGAGTGCAACAAGAAATAACAGTAAAAATTATGTGTTAGATTAAGTATGAGCATAGCGATTGATATAACGGATCAGAGGAAATAACCGCCTCTCCTTGGCACGCGAGAACGGCGCTGGGTGATTTGGAGGTGGTGTTCGGTAGCCGTAGCCAGCCAGCCCTAGGGCACGCTTGGGCTTACAAAATTATTCCCTCGCATGCTAATGCAGGGTTGCCCAAGCCAGTGCTGGACCCCCCATGCAAGCCTTGGGCAGAGGCAGCGTGGCAGCTGATGGACGCCGATGGATCGAGGGAGGGCGTGACCTTTGCGTCATCCGAGCACGCGACTCCGGGCGGCACAGGGAACTTTTCTGAGGTTTATTTAGCTAGAGCGGTCACAGCGGCACGCGAGGCAGGGTGGAAAGCTCTTCTTTTGTCAGGTACTTGGTCGGTTTGGGTCGGAGCACCTCCGCAGGTTGGGAGCGATGACTCTGTGCAGGTCGGGCCCGAGCTGACCTTGGTTGTCAGAGAAGCTGGGTGGGCGTCGTCGTACCGGCCCGAACCGCCCAGCGTGCGGCCGCGCGCTGTGCTGTACCGCGGAGGTCGGTTGGCACGGTTGTCCCGCGTGGGCAGGTCAAGCTGCACAAAAGGGTCGCTCCTCCGGTCCGCCATGCTGCCAAGGTCCACGCGTTGCATGATACGGAGGAGCAGAGCAACACACAAAAATGGAGGTCTGAAGATTTTCCTTAATTAGTGAGATTTAGCCAGGTTGCAGATCCTAAGTAGTAATGAGCTTCATAAAAGAGAGCCCTCATTGGATCAAAGTCGGTGCAGATAAGGGGAGCTCAAGGTCACAGAGGGAGCTGCCCAGCAGGGCCATTTGCATAAAAAATTACTGTCAGAAATAGGCCAGAGAGGCAGCCCTGGCATTTTGATCTCTTGGCCTTTGTCATGGAGATTCCTAGTTGAGAAGGGAGGAAGGCCAGTGTCCCAGATAATGATTAACTGTTTTAATGGCATTCATTCATTCATTCCGCACTAACTACTCATGCAGAAAAAAGGGTTATGTAAAATGACATTAGAAGAAAAATCATTTGTAATCGTTGCATCAGGCTGCACTTTGAGGAGACATTAGGAGTAAATCCATGGCGTGGTAGGCTTATGCTTTATCTTCTGATATTTACTGAGTTTACTGGTGCATGAAAAGCTTTCAGCAAGAATAGCAGATGGGATGGACCTTTCATAGGTAATGCTATCTACCAGGTTATTACTTCTATATATTGATAGTAAAGTAATCTCCAAGATATCACCCTACAAATATAGATTATTTAAATGTTTGTAACAAAAAAACCTATAACATAAAGAAGCGACGTTCATGAATAGTTTATTTAGTACCCATATGGCTGGAGTCTTTAGATGCCTTTTTAAGCCTTAAATAATAAGAAAACAGAGGGTTTATAACATGCGTGTTTCCTTTTTGTTTGGCTTTGGAAAGAAGTAAAGTTGTGTAGAGTTGTAATCTGGCCTGCAAGTATTCAGTGTAATTTCTTTCCTTAAATGTGAGCTTTTCTATTAAGTAAACAAAAGGAAACGCGGGGGGGGGGGGGGGGGGGCGGGGGGGGGTTAGGTGCAGCTGTCCCTAGGGTGGCAAGGCCGCAGTGAGGATGGCAGCGGGGACAGCAGTGGGGATGGCAGTGGGGACAGCGATGGGGATGGCAGCGGGGACAGCGGTGGGGATGGCAGCGGGGACAGCGGTGGGGGCGGGCGCAGGGGCACGCAAGGGGATGGCGGCGGGGACGGCGGTGGGGATGGCAGCAGGGACAGCGGCGCAGCCGGCACTTTGCGCAGCCGTCGGGTTCCAGCTGGATCCCTCTTAGCCAGTGAGGACGGAGGCGCCGGCAGTGGTACCCGCGAGCCGGTGCCGGGCGTAACGCCTGCGTCAGGTGAGTTGTTCGCATCCCCTGCCGTGTGTTTGGCGCTGGGATTACAGCGAGGCGCCTCCTGGAGCAGTACGTAAAGGCTCTCCGCTTGCCGGCTCAGCCCTGTGGCTCACGCGGCGCCTGGTCAGCGTGCTCCATTTCTCGTCCGCAGCTGCACAGCCAGCGTTCATTTTCAAAAGCCCAATTCAAAACAGCGCGAGGTCCTACTGATCTGTTTTGTAAAAACTAATGCCATGTTGAACTCGGTGCAAGTCTCACTGGTTTCAATACAAGGACACCAGTGACGACCGAAATCATCATTATTTACATTGGAGGGTGACCACGCAGCAGATGAAGGTGTCAGACCCTTTGCCACACAGCATCTTGGAACATAAAGGGTTGTGCCTCTGGAATAATGCACGGGTTTTGTAACTGCGTGTTATTGTTGCGCCACGCCTTGCAAAGACCGCATCGTGTAATTGTGTCGTTTTCAGACCGATGTTACGGTTCCATTTCAGGCCCAGCTGGCAGAAAGCCAAAGAGTGACAAAATGGTCTCACTTTTGGTTCTGACAGCGGTGCTGCACTGGTACTCTGGTCGCAGAGCCATCTATCTAGCAGGCAGGGACTGACTGAGGGAGCCTGTTGGGGCTTTGTGGCAGCATCCCCGTGTGGACTTCAGTGGACATCAGCTTTGAAAAGAGATTTAATATGGGTAAAATGCGACGTGGAGGGAAGGCAGAAGCAGATACTGCTCACAGGGTTCATTTCTGCTTTTTAGGAGCCCCATCCAAAGTGGTGGTGATTCCTGGGGCCACTCCTCATGCTGAAGACTAACTAGAATGCAGGTGATTGACCCAGTAAATTAAACCCACAGATTTTTCCTCAAGGAGACTATGCAAATGTTTGCATTTGGGTCTGTTTGTTTTTTCCTTGCCTGTTCTATGTATTTATGATAACAGAATACCTGAAAAACTAAGCCAGCTTAGTAAGTCGCTTACGCGCCGTTGTTAGCTGGAGAGCTCTTGCTGCAAGGCATGGGTGAGAGACACACATTAGTTTGTAGGCAGCGGTTCCTTCCCGTTCCCCATCTCCCTGCCTTTTGTCACACATCACCGTTGGATGTGTCACTCTTCCTACTCCTCCTTTGGCTGCCTTCTGGTGAGTGGCTGTGGACCGAGGAACACGAATCTGAAACACACATTTAAACCCAAGGCTGAAGAGGGTCAAGATGAGGTGACCCTGCAAGTGTGATCAGATTCATAAAAAACAACATTGGGAGATTTCTGTTGTTTTTGCCTATCTTACAAGCAGTGCTGTCACTCTTCAGGAGGCGATGCCGAGAACACAGCGGCTCTTAACAGTAGAAGAGGGCAGTGGTGCAGATTTAAAGAAAAGAGCAATTCCTGCAATGAGCTTTACCAAGCAGCACTGATTTCTTTGAAATCTGGGCCGCTCCTCTGTGCTCCATCAGCGCCAGAGAGAAGGAAACGCATGCGATGCCAAAAGCAGTGAGGCTGCTCTGTTGTCCCACCGCTCTTTAGCCAGAATTCATGCGCCCCTTGATTGTCCTTGTGCCAGCTCTTGCTGGGCACGGGCTCCGTGGCAGTTGCGTCCCCAGGGGACGGATGTGTTTGCACGTGTGAAAAGTAAAGGAACAGACATTAAGTTCACCCATTCCACTTGGTGGTGCTAAATGGGGAAGAGGAAAAGAGCTGCCTGCTCCCCTGAATTCGACGGAGCGTGCCAGGTCTTCCTGTGCCCCGTGCACGCCCCAAGAGCAGCTACGGACCATAGCGTCACGCCTCCTCCGCTGGGAGCAGAGCCGCTGCCCCGCTCTGTGGAAGCACCGTCGGGCTCTCCCGCACCGACCCGGCGCCTGGGCGCTGCTGCTGGAAGTGGGTGTAGCTGGGGAATGCAGCTGGCGAAGGCCCCGTGTCTCCGCCAGATCTTTGCCGCGTTGCTTGAAGCACGACCAGTTCAGCAATACGCAAATGTGCCTACCCAGCTGGCGGACGCGGCGTCCGATGGCCCTGCCCGTCCCGGGGGACGTGGGGCATCTGTGAGAGGGGGAGGGGGCTGGGAGGCAAGGAGGAGGGGGCAGAGGTAAATCAGCAGCCTATTTTCTTGTATTCAGAACTGAAATAACGTGGCCAGGTGGAATGGATACTGGGGATGCCTCTGCCCACCTCATTTGTCATGCTCAGGCTGAACCTGGCTCTGCAAAATTACAGTAGTAGGAGCCACTTGCTTCTTTTTCAAACTTAATATTCCAGCAGCAAGAAGGAATGTATTAATTCAAGCATAATAAAATTATATTTATGTAATTTTAATTTATTTTTAATTCAGCATTCGGAATACTGGCAGACTAATTCTTGCCTATTTCCATCTTTCAGACAAAGCCAGGACCAATCAAGGCGGCCGGCTCTCACTCCGAGCGCTCTGCTCTGGTGTACTGCTACAACTGCTCCCGGAAAGGACATTTTGGATACGTAAGTCTCAGCAGTCTCTGCCTCGGTGTTGTGTATGTCCCTGGTGTAGGAATTCACCTCTGCCATGGCGTGTGGCTGCAGGAAGAGCTGGAGGAGTCGGGCTGATGCTTCATGAAGGGACGCTCTGACAAAATGTTTGTGGCTTTGCAGCACTGCTGCGATCAGTGGAGGCCAGTGGATAAAGTGATCTCACCCATCTCATTTAAAGATACGGGGGGAAAGAAAAGTTTCTCTCTCTCTCTCCTTGGCAGGTTTATTGATTTGTTTTTTAAATCTTAAATCAAAATGAGACTGCCCAGGAGAGAGAGCGTTCATTGGAAAACAGGCGGTTGCTGAACAGGGATGGGGGTTTCTCTCTTCCTTGCTGTTTTTTCCCATGGCTCCTGGGATGAAATATCAGCGCCTTACTGCCACGGTCAACATCATGTGAGGTTTTTCACCAGATTCAGCCCAACAATTTGGATGCGCATTTTAGGGATTTTCCATTTCTGCCTGCTTTTGATGGTCCTTATTTGTAGTTTCTTAGCATAATTCAATGTCTGAATTAAGTTTGACATCATCCTTCTGTAAGGTCCACAGCCTGGTGAGGGAGACATTGTGAGCTTTAAGTGGCTTCAGCAAAAACTGGAAGTGTGCTGCATTTTCTAGGATTGCTGGCTGGTGTTTGTCACCATTTTCAGCCCCCTGTCACGACAAGAGCAGCCCTCTACCTGCACATATCGACACCAAACTGATGTTAGTTCTTTTCTTTTATGGAGTAAGTCCAGAAGCCACAAGTATTCTAAAACATGAATCGTACTCATGCATTGGAGGGGTTATGGTTTTAGTTTCCTGCAGCTTAGCGAGGGCAAATTCCCAGCAAATTCCTCCCTTCCCTCCTGTGTCCTCTGTGTGTCGACTCCTGCAACGGCTGAAGATGTGTCATTAAAAGCTTGCTGATGGTTTCAGCTAAAGAGTTGATCCCCATGGAGAACTGTGGGTCGGTAGGGCAGGTTTGCTGGGATCTTCTCACGCAGAGGGGAAAGATAAATGGAAGATTTTTAATGCCAAGCTGTCTTCGGAGACAAGTGAAGATTTTCCTCTTGGAGCGGCACGCTGAGGCTGCCGCGTGCATCCAGGACGCACTGCTGCCTGCACGGGCGGGTTGGAAGGGGCAGGGAATACGCATCTGCCGCAATGCAAGCTCGGTAAGAGATGAGCGTGTGTCAGCAGCCCAGTGTCCCCCCATGGCACGGCAGGAGCACAGGCACTGCCCTGGCAGTGGGACAGGAGTCCAAATCCTTGGCCTCAACTGCAAGACCTCTGCTCAAGCTGCGCGCACGGCAGCGGTGCGAGGCCTCGGCGACACCGTCGTGTGGAACAGCTCGCTCTGCCGGCTGTCTGGGGCCAGAGCTGATGAAACCTGTGGAAGCAGCACTGAAACAGATCCCGCTGAACAGAAACAGAATAAAGCCCCTGGCGGTGAAACAAGCACTGAAATGGGCGTACAGAATAAAAAATGAAGTGATGGGGTTGAAGAAGTGAGACTGATTCCTGGCAGGGGACAGGGAACACTGTGCTAAACTGTCAAAAAGCGGCATTCGAGGGAGGCAGCCGTACATGGATAAGGCTGCTGTAAAAATAATAAGTATGTGGGAGGAGCTGATAGTAATTTCTTGGGTAGAAGGACAACACTTCATGGCTATCAACGTTAAAGACGATAAGATCATTTTTTCACTAGCATACAATACACAGGAATAGCCCAAGCAGTGACTGAATCATAGAATCACAGAATGTTTTGGGTTGGAAGGGACCCCTAGAGGTCACCCAGCCCAACCCCCCTGCAGGGAGCAGTGAACGAAAATGGAGAAGTCAAACGCAACAGAGAAGGGCAGAAATAGTCACCAGATCTTTATGTAAGCGTATGGAAGCACACCCAGGACACACATCGGGGTATGTCACGGTAGCTGAGTATGTGCCCGCCAGCCTCAGAGCCGTCTGTCGAAGCATGGCAGAGGGAACGGGGCTGGCATCCTGCACGTGCATCTTGGGAGCGACCCAGCTGGACCGGCCGTGCATCTGAGATGTGGCCAAGGAAACCCAGGTCATAGTCAGAGCCTGAGTTCTTGTGGTGAGCAGCTCTGTTGGAGCCTGAAAGATCCGCCTGCGATTTAAGGACGGGGAGGGGGGGAAGGGTGGTTTTGTTGAAGGGGTTTTTTAAACGTAAATATTTTTAAGGAGGTAAGAATCACTTGTGATGACAAGCATCTCTTAACATTTTTCCCATTTCTATACCTCGGGAACCCTGCTCTGTTGCCTTTTTTTGAGCAGTTAGTTCTGGGCTCCCCAGTTCAAGAAAGATGAGGAACTCCTAGACAGAGTCCAGAGGAGTGCAACAAGGATGATAAGCAGATAAGGGGCCTGGAGCATCTCCCCTAGGAGGAAAGGCTGGGGGAGCTGGGCTTGTTCAGCCTGGAGAAGAGAAGGCTGAGAGGGGATCTCATCAACACCTACAAATATCTCAAGGGTGGGGGTCACGAGGACAGAGCCAGACTCTTCCCAGTGGTGCCCAGCACCAGGACAAGGGGCCATGGGCACAAACTGGAGCAGAAGAGGTTCCAGTTGAATGGGAGGAAGAACTTGTTGACTGTGAGGGTGCCCGAGCCCTGGCCCAGGCTGCCCAGGGGGGCTGTGGAGTCTCCTTCTCTGGAGATCTTCAACCCCCGCCTGGACGCTGTCCTGTGCCCCCTGCTCTGGGTGAGCCTGCTTGGGCAGGGGGGTGGCACTGGGTGAGCTCCGGAGGGCCCTGCCAGCCCCAGCCATGCTGGGATTCTGGGATTCTGTGTGAAGAAGAAAAGGCTGGGTTAGTTTTGTGTAGATGCACCATAATCGGCGCTTCCCACTGCAGTCCGTGTCCTTTCACATTGCCATTTAATCTGTTTTAGGAACACCTGAAGTTCCTTTTTTTTGCCAGAGGCCTAGGGACGCCTTTCCCAAAAATGGAGGCAAGAGCGAAATACTTGCTGAGTCCCAGTGTGACCTGTGCAGTTCCAGTAAGGAGGTCACTGGGGATCACTTGTTTGTAGAAATGGAAATAGCTAAAACATGAACTGCCAGAGGTTCCAGCGCCTGGCAGTTGTCCTTCCTGAATTTGCCGTATTGTTTATCGAGACAGTCGTATTCTTCTGTGAACTAGGGATTTCATAAGGACAAGGAATCTTTTTTCCTTTAGCCGACTTCCCATCGTAGTTCATGTCATAGCAGCCTGCACATCCCAATCATTACCTCGCAGGCTCCCTAGCAAAGATGTGCTCCTTTCACGGGGCCCCCCTGCAGGACAGCTCAGAGGGAGGGCGGGTTAACGAGGGGCAGCCCACTGCATTGCCCGGGCTGCGGCACGTTCTGACGGCAGCAGGGGTACGGAACTGCGCAGTACCTGCAGATGCGCCTTGCGTTCGCATCCCCGTGTGCCAATCACACAGAAAATTCCTCCCCCGGGTCGGTAGCTGGCTCTGCTTTCCGTCCTCGGCACGATACCTCCTGCGCTGGAGACTGTCCCAGGAGAATTTAAGAGCGCGCAGTGTGTGGCACCGGTGGCAGCTGACGGGGGAGGGCGTAGCCAAGCGCGTGTTGGACATTGCTGAGCTGATTGATCAACGCGGGGCAGATAGAGAGGAGCAGGGGAGCACCGGTTTGGGCAGCACGTGCGTTTCATTCACTGAGGCGTCCCTGTCGGTGTATTAACAAAAGGAAAATGATGAACAGCCCACGTTCGGGCAGAGCGAGCCCTGGCTTTGATGCGGAGTCTTAAGCAGTGCATTGCACAGGTATCCCAGGGCGGCGAACGTGTCTCTGCGCGCTCCCGCGGACAGCATGTTGTAAGCAACCTCTCTGGCCATGTCTGGGGATGGTGTTTTCTTCTGTGTATTCCAGATAGGAGGGCGGCTCTGTGGCTGCCTAACAGGCTTGCTGAGGTTTCACTCATGCCAGACATGGGTATCTGCAGTGTCGTGTCTCTGTTGGGCTTTCCTCTCCTCTTAGAGCTGAGGGAGGTAGAGGGAGGACCAGGAGAGGTGGGAGGGGAGGCTTCTTTGCGGGGCTGTTGAAGGTGTTCAGTGTGAAATCCAGTCGGTCTTCCAGGGTGTGCGTATCTCAGACGCGTAGCTGCTGAGCGTGGCCTTGGGGAGCAGATGGATGCACGTGCCTTTAGCCCCTTTTGGCCCCATTCCCCAGTGGGGTAGAGCTGAGCCGTCAGACTTGGGTGGGCTGCAGCCACGAGCTGCTGCTGCTCCTCCGTGCTCCTCCGCACACGTGATTGTCACATGGCCTGATGGCACAGAGAACAACGCGATGCTTCATGTCATTTTGGCAAAGACCGAATACAAAATACATCTGAAATGCGTATTTAATGTACTCTGCCTTTAAAAAAGAGAGGGTGGGAGGCAGGAGGAGGGACGGGGAGAGGGGGTGCTAGAGGTGGCACTGAGTGGTAGAAATGGCAAACGCAGGGAGGGAAGCTGCGTCGCTTGTGGTGCAGGGGGGGAGCGAAAGCTCCTGGCGGTTTCTTGAGACGGGCAAGGCTCAGAGCTCATTGGATTTATGCCGTGTCCAAGAAGTAGAAAGATGGTGTTGCAAAGCACAACAGTGAACAAGCAATTCGCATAGCATCACACGGTGCCCTGGAGAAAAGACAGGCTCACAGGAAGCATCCCGGTTATCCTGGTTTGCAAGGCATTGCCAAGACCTTGAGTGCAGCAGTGAAAAAATTCACATTACTGAATCAAATGTTTGGGAAGCAGGCTGACATGCACGTGATGCAGGAGCCAGCCCCTTCCCCACCTCAGCCGACTGTTGGGGGCTCTCTGCCCCTTCCCTGCAGTCCGGTGCAGCCTCCTGCAGGATTTT